CACACCTGATTTATACAATTAAACTTCCTATATAAACCCCAGATTCCAAGGGAAGTAAATAAACAGAGTCATGTGAAACTGCTGCTGTACACAATATTGTAATGGTGTGACAGAAACACTTGGAGTAGAAGTTCTCCATTGAAAACCCCAGATTTTTGAATTAAAATACTTTAAACTGCTCAAAGCAAGAACTACCCAGCAAAGCTACTGAAATTCTGTTTTGAGGGCCTGAAACAAGTGAGAAGCAAAGAAAAAAAGGAAAACAATGCAATTTTAAAATACCAGTGTAAGAATCTGAGTAAGACAGCTGAAGTTCGTTGCTCTTAGAGTGGTGTCTGTCACCCACAGTCACTGAACAGAATCTGAATCCCAGACTGGGCACCCAAAATGTCCAAAATCCCCCAGTGAGAACACTCAGCTCCATTCCAGGTTGGTTTTTTGTGCTGCTTGGCCTTTACCAGTGTCACACACAGGGGTTTTACCCAGCAGAATCTTTCCTAAATCCTGAATCTTTTCTAAATTCCAAAGCAGACCCTCTCTGTAAGAGTGTAGCCATGGCAGTTTGCAAGGATAACAAGGTAACTGCTCTCCCGCTCTATTTGAGGGTGTAAGTTTGGCTACAAAGCCACAAGAAAAGCTGAAAAACTTCCCAGCTAAAGGATCCAATATCCCCCCCCACGCTGAGTAACTGCACACTCAGGTAGATGGGGCAGTGTAAATGAAATATTTCAGTGTTCTGGTGTAGCCAGGTGGTTTTGCACGAGCCATTGTACACACAACCAACACCAAACCCTCATTCCCTGCCTGTGACAAAGCATTTCCACCTGACTCCACTGATGTTTCACATGCATGGTGGTCAGGGAAAAACGGGGAGGGAAAGTTAAATCTTTGTCACCTTTGAGCTCACAGCGAGACACAGAAGTTTGATAAAACTGCCTCAGTCATTTTTGCATAATGCTTATCAGCACTTTTGCTGAAGTGGCTCCATCTCTAACATGGAGGGCTGAGGAAATGCTGAAGCATCAATGCAGCAGGAACACTTGGAATGCCTCAGAACTCACAGACCCTGCCCAGCCTCGGGGCTGCAGCTCACCCTGCCCACACCAGGTGCACAATGCTGCAAAAGCCTCCTTTCCCCTTTTTGTTGGTATTTTTTGTAGGAGTTCAATGATCTCAGGCAGCAATTGTTATTTTAAAAAGGCATCACTGGCTGAACTCTTTTCCAAGCTGCCTTTGCCAGCTCCTTGCAACTGGCAGGGCTTGCAGCCCCTTGGAATGGGAACTGGCTCATCCTCTGCTCTCCATTGTCCTGGAGCAGTGAGACACTCAGTGCTGACATCAGCACAACCTCGCTGCATTTTTGGGGACAGGGATTTGATCTAGAATGCACATGCATTGAAAAGCACACAGCACACATCAGTCTGTGCTGCCATGACTGTTTTACCAGCCAGACAAACACCAGGATTCTCCCCAGCTCTCCTCCAGCCAGCATTATTTTTATACATTTCCCCCTCACAGAAGCACGAGCAAGATTGTTCAGCAAACAAAAACTGATTATCTTGATATATGACAGACAACTCTTTAATTTTTAAAGTAAATTAACCAAATTTAATAGACACCAGAATGAAAAAGATACATCTTGCAGCTCACCATTTAAGAGATGCAATTTGAAGGTCAAAGCCATATAGCAGCATTCCCCTATCCCAGCATTAATCAAATTGTAACCATTTCCTTGGGACTATGTCTTGTACATAATTCATACCCCACTGTTCTCAGGTTTAAAATCATCTACTGCCAATTTAAAAGAAAATAATCCAAGAGCACAAGTAGCCACATGAAAATAAGAAAGAACCTTTCTAATAAAATAACTGCTGATCAGAGCTGTGAGAGACCATTGCCTGCTGAAATTGGAAGAGATGTCCTACTTTAGGGTTTGAGTTGCAAGAATTACTATAATCAAGCCTCACTGTCAGAACAAAAACATAACCTTTGAGGTTGTTAGAGGCTAAAATAACATTTCACTAACTTCTGTCTGCCTCTAGCTACGTTGGGATAGAAACAGAGCTCTGGGTTTTTGGCTGTATGTACAGTAAGTGGGTTCCTAGGGAAGGGAAAAAAATAAATGATTGAGTGAAGTCAATATTCCTGATCAATCAGCATCTCTGAACAAGTCTCCTTTTGACATGCCCCGAGGCAACAACAATCCCTGACCATCAACAAGACACTTATCCAAGGCTTGCAGTGAGAACCCTGCCACAGCCACGAGCACGATTCAAACGTGACTCCAGGGCACAGAGTGAACTTGCAGAACGCACAGCTGAACACAGAGATAGCATTTATTTCTTCAATCTGATATGCAAAGATGGACATTCCCAACCCTGCATCCCCTGCTGAGGGCATCTTGGGAAGGGGACAAAAGGGAAGCTGACATATTTCAAATCCCCCAGGGCTGATAACCAAGATGTGTTCCAGTCACTGAAAACCCATTGTTCACTGAAACTGCACATGGCCAAAAATTCAGAAACTGTCAGAATACCAACCTGTGCTGAACAGGCAGAGTTTCAGAGCAAAGGGAGCAGAATCAGGAGTTATTAACGTGGCTCTGGCAGATTTCTAACCAGGGCTCTCTCAAGGGCCACCTCTCCAGGAGAAATCTGTCCAAAGGCACCAAGGGACAAACTGCTCCCACATTGCTCCCTGTCCCCATCCTGCAGGACAATCCTTCACCCATCCAGCAGCAAACTTCCCAATGAGGCAGCACCTCAGCCTCCAGCAGCAAACAATTTCCAATCAATTTTGCAGGTAACAAGCCTGTGCTAAGAAGTCATTTATCATTCCCATTGAAAATGTAACAAGCAGTCATTGGGAGAACAAGGCAGTGTGAATTACCAGGAGAAATTGTCCACCGATGAAAAAATCCATTAGGCTACGACAAAGGTCAGATAACATTGTTTGGGTTCAGCCATAATTCTCTCTTCTATGAGATCCACGTGAAGATTTTGTGTAACAGCAAAGAGAAAAAGTGCAGCTGTGGGCACCCCTCAGCTGAGATGCACAGGAGGGTCTGTACCAGCTCCTGGCACCAGAGCCTCTCACACACAAATTCTCTTTTTCATTCCAGGAGGACAAAACCTCTGCAGTGTCAGAGCCAGCTGCAGGTGACAGCCTGAGGAGCAGCAGCATTGCACACAACACGTGTGGAACAGCTCTGGGGAAGCACAGGCACCCACAGGTGACCTGAACCAAGAAAATACCCAAAGACATGGCTGGGAGACTCTAATCCTGCACTATCTCTGCCTTACACCCTAAGAGAGGTTAAGAGTTGGTAATTCCCTGGGATGATACCTGCTTATCCACCTGTGCAAAAGGGGAATTCTGGACAAGCACAAACAAGGGGCTGAGCTGGAACTGCAGCTACAAACCACTGCTGTTTCCAAATGTCCCTCTGTGATAAATCACCAGCAGATTCAAGAAGTGGCAAAGAAAGTTGCTCAAACAAATAATTTTAGTGGTTAGGCAGCACAAAATTGCGCTTTTTAAATGGCTTAAATTTCACTGGATTTCCCACTCTAAATGTGTTTGTCTCAATTTAATCCCACAACAACACAAACAATTCACACAGGTCCTTCCACACAAGTGCTGGTCTTGGCTCAGGGCAGGCCCAGGCCAAAACCAGCCAGCACTGGGTCCAAGTCACATCTCAGGCACACAAAGGATGTTCCCTGCAGGTCACAACTGAGGTTATTTATAGGTCATAAGAAGGAAGCCTCAAATGCACTAAAATATCAGCAAACTCCAGTGTAAGTGCCATTTAAAATGCAAAGTTTGTAGTTCCAGGACAGACAGGAATAGGAGCAACAGCTCAATCTTTGAAGTCGACTATTCAAAGAAATAAACATCATTTCAGTGCGTCAATTGTTTTTCAGATCACAGTATTTTTGTATGAAAATTCCACACATTATTAAATTGTTTCAAGTCAACTTCCTCAGTGGCACTTTAAACTCCTGTTTGTTCTCCAGCTTATCCACACACACACACACACAGAGGCAGCATTAACAATTTCTGGTTACCAGGTCACCAAACCTTGGGCTCATTTTACACTTCAGTAATCTGAATACTGTACATTATTTGAAAGGAAATTAGAGTGATGTGTTTGTTGGTTTTTTTTTTTTTTCCCTCGAATTAGTTGAGTCTCACCTTTAGACTCACCCAATTTAAATATCTAACTTCGTCACCTTGCTGATAAGCAGCTGGAACCATCTACGTGGGGAATTGAGCTCAACAAGCAAACAGTTCCAAAGGAAGGTGCCAAATTTGAAGTACAACATTATTGAGAAATACAAATATTGTCAGTCTTTCAAAAGGCTGGGTTTGAAAGCAGGTTCAGGGCACCAGGAAAAGTGGGGGAGAGGAATCATAAAAACTAAAAGGTTTACAGATTTTGCATGGAAACAGCTGGTTAGTTCCTGGTGCCTCCTTCTGAGGGCTTCTCACTGATGGTGTGAATTCCAACCAAAACAACTCCAAAAAGCTCAAGAGTTGCCCAGATCTCTACACTTCTTATTACATAATAAAATGAGCTTTACTATTTGAATTTGAAAATTCTAATTGCCCAAACAAAAGGGATCTTATCAAAACATGTTTAAGACATCACTTGTGAATCACAGGCACAGCTTTCAGCACAGCTTTCTCATGAAGAAGCTGCCAAAACTCATAGGCTTGTGTTTTGTTTCTTTCAAGGGAACAAGTGGGGACCAAAAATCCAAAAATCCCTTGTTTCTGAAAAATCCAGCAGTCCAAGGGAGAGAGCAGATGGTTGCAATAATTTGGAGAGGGTTACAGCAACAAATTCATCCTTTCTGGAGCTAACACTCCACCTGGTGCAGGTGTCAGAAACGAGCCCTGAGCAGCAGCGAGCAAAGAATGCACAGATTCCTCCAGTGACCAAAGAACGTACAGATCCTTCCAGTGACCAGAGGAAGGTGCCAGCAAGCTCCTACCTGAGAGATCATGGTGGATCAGGTCAGCAAAGTTGGGGTCATCCCCCCACCAGAATATCCAGAGCTCCCTGCGGCCGGGCCGCTGGTCGCGGCGCCAGACGCTGAGCACGTCGGCCTTGAGGCAGCGGCTGAAGCTGCTCAGGATGGGATCCTCCTCCGTCACCGGGAACAGGATGGGGGCAGACGTTGGGCCCTGCCACACGTAACGCTTCCATTTAATGCCAGTCAGATCAGCCTGCAGGGAGAAAAGGGCTGTCAGCGTGCGGGCACATCCACGGCGAGCGCGTCCGCGTGTGGGGAAGGGGAGCCGAGAAAGGGATCCCCCAGGATTTCATGGAACTGGGTTGGTTGGTTGGTTGGTTCTGTGTGCTTTAGGATCCCTGGGTGCTCCCAGTTTAATAACTGCAGGAAAGCAAGAGCTGTTTGTTTCCACTGCAGCTTTAAGGGTACACAGAGAAAAAGCAGATTTGATTTCAAGTAAAAGAGGGAAAGACGAGTGAGTAATGTGATTATTCACAGACTGACACAGCCCAATCTCCTCAGCACTTGCCTTAGCAAAGAACATCTTTCTTTTTGCTTACTTATGCATACACTGCCTTTTCCATCCAAGATTACTCCATGGAAATAGGTGATACAGTAAATCACACATTCTTCCAGCCATCTACCACTTGGGAAAATTTCACAAGTTTCTCCATGGCAAAAAATTCTGTCTCTCCCCCAGGAAATCTCTCGTCTTCACTGATTTTACCAAGAGCTATCATACTTTTCATTCCTCACACCACATTTCAACGATTTAAATCCTCGTTTTGTCATTCAATTATATGTTAGACCTGCAACCACGCTGATAATGATCCACTAAACCCCTTCCTAGGCAAAAATTAATTTGGCTTTACACAGGGAAAGAGCTACTACCGTGTGTAACGGGAAGCACACAATTCCTGGATTATCTCCATCACAACACCAAGTTTTAGCACTCAGTTTTTTCACTCCAGCACAGGCACCTTAAGGCAGGTAGGGGAGGCATTGCCCCGGGTTCTCTTTGGGAAGGCAGAGCCAGGCAGGCTGGCATTTGCTAAGAAGTTACTATTTTTTGTCTTCCCAATATGACAACACACAAAAGATTACTGCAACATTTAAACCTAACATGGCAGCCTCCCTACCTTCAGCAGGAGAGCAATTTAGATGAAAGGTTGTCTGCAACAGTTGCTACTTCAGAAAGACTTTCAGATTTGAAATTGTGCTATTAATCTGGAGCTGCAGGCCTGATGCAGGCTGCAGACACAGTCAGGCCGCCCAGATTCCCCTCCATCCAAAAATATGAGTGCCACAGATTGGCACAGGATTGTTGTAACAATCTCTAGGATCATAAATATCAGGCAGACAGCTAAGATTAGCTCATTTGCATTAAAAGCTGATGAAACAGCTCAGCACAGACACCAAAAAATTGCATCACAGTCCAGTTATATCGAATTTACTCTTGGAGCTACCAAAATTCAACAATACCAACGATTTGATATTTGGGTTAAAAAAAAAACGACTACAAAATGGTGCACATCAAAACACAAGACAGGCAGGGCATCACCAAAATAAAAACAGGGCATCACCAGAATAAAAACAAGCAGGGAAAGGGATCCGCGTAAAAGCGAGGAAGAAGGGGAGGATTTGCCTGGGATGTCACGAGTGAGGAGGGAAAAGAGAAAGTTCCCCGAGATGTGGGGCCGGGAGCAGCAGCAGCTCCGAGAAACACCAGGCTCAGAGGCAGGGGAGAAAGGAGGAAAAGTTGGAAGGCACGGAAAGGGAAGGAAAAGGCGAGTTCCAGGGAGGCTGCTATCCAGGAAGAAAGCGGAGGGAGGGGCGAGGCGAGACAGACAGCGATGGAGGGGAACCAGAGGGGCATGGGAGAGTTGGCTGCTCCAGGCAGGGCCTACTCCGAGGGCTCATCCAGCAGAAGCTCCGCTAAAAATGGCTGCTTTGCTTCCACTGCCCCTTCCCCCTCCCCCGGAGCTCCCAGCCCTTCCCTCGGTGGCCCCGGGCGGCTGCGAGCCGGGGGCCGACACTCACCAGGCAGAAGAGGTTGGAATGGCAATCCTCCAGGCTGGCCCCGTTCGGCACGAAGCAGGAACTCATCCTCACAGCCACAACCCACACGCCATTATCCCACAGCCTCCGACAAGAAAGAAAGAGACAGACAGAGAGAGAGAGAGAGAGGGAGAGAGAGGGAGAGAGGGAGAGACAGACAGCGAGAGGGAAAGGGGGAGGGGGGCTCTGCACACGCACAAATAATAATACAATTAAATAAGGGATTTACAGACACACGCACGCGAAATAGTGGCAGGGGGAATAACCCGCGAGGAGAGACAGAGAGGTGTGGGAGAGAGGGGGGGGGGAAATATTTAAAAAAAAAATAAAATATAAAAAATTAAAGAGGAACTCAGAACGTTTTCTCGTCTTCTGGAGCTCAATCGGGGGTGTAAAGCCGCCGTGGAAGGGGAGAACAGAAAGAGGGAGGTGGTAAGTAATCCAACGACGGGAGATTAAGATCAAAATCCTCCCTGTTCCTCTTGTCTTCTCGTTCGCATAAGGAGGGGAGGGAGAGGAGGTAAGGTGAAGGGGTAATTGATCCAACAAGAGAATAAAAATGGGGTAATTAATCCAGGGGGCTAGGGGTAAAAATCAGTTGACATCCCTCCTTCCTCTCTTCTCAGATGCCAAGCAAGAGAAGCAGGAAAAAATAAATAATCCAGCGGGGGCAATTAATCCAGAACCCCCCCTCCTCTTCCTCCTGTTCCTTTAGTCATCAGATGAGAAAGGGGCAAATTGTGGAATGACTGGGAAGGATTGGCCGTGGGAGAGAGAAAAATCCAGGCTCGTCTCTTCGGAGTCCGAGGGCAACAGGGTGTGGGGGGGTCAGATTCTTCTCCCCTGCTCCAAAAATATTCCAAATAAATTAAAATTTAAAATCATAAAAACAAACTTCAGGGGCCAGAAGCAAGGCCAGTCTGAAGAATTCGTAAAGGCAGAGCAAGAAAAATTTCCTGGGGTGTACCCCAAAAAAACATCTGCGGGGGCAGGGGAGGGGGGAAGGTATTCCTTGAGAGAGAAAGGCCGCAAAAGTCTCCTTAGCAGCCCAGCGGGGGATTAAATTCCCGTGTGGAAACCCCCCCTCCCCAAAACGAAATACTCTTCGCAGCGAGGGCGAAACCAAAATATCCTCCGCTGGGTAAAAATTCCTTCCGTGGGGAAAGGAGGGAGGGGGAGAAGGGTGGAAGGAGGAAATTGCGGGTGACCCTCGAAGTCTCTTCGGGGAAGGATGGAGGAGTCTCCGGGAGGCCGATCCCCAGCCTTTTCGGGGGAGGAGGAGGACGCGGTAAATCGCAGAGTGTCTTCGGGGAGCCTGGTCCTCCCCAGCTGTCCTCGGGGGCCGGGGGACCCCGCAA